AGAGTTTATTACAGAGAAATGGCTCTTTCCAAAATAAAAGCTATACTATACGCTTCTTCTGGGCTATATTCTCAGCAGCATATTAAACATATCAGCAATAAACCTGCCGTTAACCTCCCATGTTGTGTTTCCTGCGTTTGGGTCCTACATCCTGCCTGCCACAGAGCCAAACCGTGACACTAACAACAAATTGGGGAACAAATACCAAAAGAACTGTCTCAGTTAATGAGGACGTCAATAACGATACACTTGTAAGCCTTCACCCCACACCCACATGTTTTACCATCTGTACTGAATCAGGTGGAAGCCAAGAATCATTAACTGTGGAGAAAACTGGCGAACGTCAAAGTACCGTTAATAAACACGAGCTTTCTTCTGCTGTACATCAGGGTCACCTCGTAATTTGGATGCTTCGACTTGAGTACAGTTAGAATTGCTTGATCAGCTGACACCTGTTCGCACCGTGCTTCAGAGTAGTGTCGTCCTCATAACGATGTCATGTGAGGTCAGATCATTAGCTTGGACTCTGCAAGTTTTGATTTACATTATAAAAGACAGACAGTTTTTATATTTCACCACAGTGAGACAGAGGGACTCACGCAGCTGCAGCAATCACTAAAGAACTTGTATTACATAAGTACATATGTAGTATAGATAAGCAGATAAACAGACTGGATTCCTGCATGAATCCTGAGCTCTCAGGGTGGCATGGTGGTGCAGTGGCTAGCATGTAACCTCACAGCAAGAGTGTTGGTGGCTCAAGCCCGCTGGCTGTACTGTATGGCGTTGTCACGTTGTCCCCGTTCTGTGTGCTCCTGCCTCTTCCCTCAGTCCAAAAATCGTACATATTAAGCTAATTTGTGACAATATGTGTGACTGTTGGAGGGAATGGTTGCCTGACTCTGTTTAGCCCTGCGAGAGACTGCCGACCTGCCCAGGATGTACTCTGCCTATTGTTCAGTCACATCTGGTAAGGGCTCCAGCTACTACACAACGCTGAACTGGATAAGCAGTAATGAAAATGATGACTTTAGACATGCAGCTTTTATGTCCCAGTAACTATTAAAATTGGATTTCAATATACTTCAAAATAAGATACTCAAATAAGCTCCCTGAGACCTTTAAAAGTGGCTGATGAGAACTAAACAGCTTGTGTCAGACAGCCGGGGACTCCATCAAGCCCCAGTATGATATAGATAAGGATTATTTTGAACTTTTGAATCATGCAAAGCTACTCTAGAGTTCAAAAATTTAAAAAAGGAGCATCATAGATCTCACTTAAAGCAGTATTTCAACGTTTTGTTACAGCTCACATCAGTGGACTCGTTATGATAGGACACGTTTAATACATTTAAAAAATAAAATACAGACAAAAACAACACAATGACAACTACAAACAGACTCCTTCCTCAAGCTATTTTTGGACAGTAGTTGTCACATGGGGGCAGTGTGACTACCAGACTGTACAGGAAATTGCACAGATTCTGCAAAGCAGCATTTACATCTCTGCGGCTCTCCAGCTGTAGTGAAGCAGCAGTGCTCCCATACAGCTTGCTGTAAATATGCCAAGCACCTTACATGAGACTGTTATGCATTATTCATGAACGGTAGGTCATAGACAACCGCTTTAACTGCATTAGTATTCATCCTATTGTGCAGCACAAAGGTTTCAAACAGCACAGACTATACTTAACGCCTCCACTGTGGCAGATCAAGTTTGACCGTCTTGCTCAGAAGCTCTCGTTTGTCTCGTTCCCAGCGTGACCACTTGGATCAAACTGTGCGTGAGCAGATGATCATATATGGACCTTTAGCTGATACAAATGGTGCTCTTCTGCATCTTTTTTGACGCAGTCTAATGCATTTCTCTGATTAAAACTCAGAGAATGAAAAATGTAAGTGCATCTACTCTGCTGAGGCAAAGCAGGTGCACGCTGAGAAGAACCCCCCCATACTATATTAATGGTTAACTTAAATGAGTTGTTTTTTTCACACAAAGTGTCTAAGTGATGCACATGTCAGGTTAAACAACTGGATCCAATCCCCCTCCAGAATTAAGCAGCTTTAAATGTCCTTTTATGGCTAATCTTTAACCATGAACAGCTCATTAGCATTCAGTTTGAATAAATTCTGTAATTTATCAATTTTGGATCAATTCTGTTGAGGAAAATTATTCAAAAGCACCTCTAAACTATATACTTAATGCAGTTTTGAGATTACACTCACCAGCCACTTTATTAGGAACATCTTTTCAACTCCTCATTCATGCAAATATTGAATCAGCCAATCACAGTGCATCAGCTCAAAGCATTTAGGGGCTGTAGACATGATCCAGACGACCTGCTGAAGTACAGACCAAGTATCAGAAATAGAACAAAGGTGACTTTCAGGGACTTTAAACATGGTGTAGTAGATGATGGGCTGTGGGGTTTACACAGAATGACTGCAGCTCTCTGGGTGAGAATGTTTTGTTGATGTCCAAGGTCAGAGAAGAATGGACAGCCGCCTTGAGCCAGTAGAAAAGCAACAGTAACTGAAATAATCAGTTGTTACAGCAAAGACACGCAGAAGAGCATCTCTGAACATGCAACACATGTTGAACCTTGGAGCTGATGGGCTACAGCAGCAGAAGACCCCACCAAGTGCCACTCCTGTCAGGAACAGGAAACTGAGGTCCACACCGGTTCTCCGACAACACAAGATTGTCCAACTGATGAAACTCTACTGCGACCTTCAGATGGTATTTTCAGAAAACAACATGAAAGGATGGAAGCATTCGGCTTTGTATCAACGGCTCAGGATGGTGTGGGGATGTTTTCACTTTGGACCCCTCAGTTGAGCATCAACTGCCACCTGGTATTGCTGTGGACCATCCATGACCACAGTGTACCATCTGCATTTCTTACAGTTTCAGTCCAAAGCAGCATTTCTTTATCATCTAAAAAACAAACGGAGGTGTACTGCTTTAATCTTTTTCTTATATTCAAACATCCCAGAGTTTACATGTGTGGTTGGCCAACATCACACTCACAGAAAGAGTCTCACTGGTCCACCTCACTTCAGATCAACGCGGGCTGTTATGTGTCCTACGATGTAAAATCGTTTTGACATCCTTGAAGCAGATTCCTGTTTTGCTCCGCTCTGCGTTGTTCCTGTTCTTTTCTATTCTTGCAGTTCTAAGACTGTATTCCACATTTCATACAATCTTGATTATTGAGCCTGCTTTCCTTCATGCTGGGTCATCGATGTGTGCTCCAACCAAAGCTGTTTAATTGGCTGCTCTTCTAATCCCTGTCCTTGGGTCTGATTACTGGCACCAACTTAATTAGGGGGGTTTTCCACTTCATTTAAAGACTAAGTGGCCTTTACCTTTTCTTTAATAGAGTAACAAGTAGGGGCCCCTGTATGGTCACACTGCAGCTGACTTCGTGTGAGGTGTACAGGAACGTGTCGCAGCGGTAATGCGGTTAGACGTGCAGCCGGCTGGTGGCTGCCCGGTCGGCCGGTGAGGTGGCACAGGTCGCCTGGTGCAGCTGCTGCGGGGTTGGGGAGAGCAGCCGCTGTGGCCACATTAAAAACTGCATCACTGTTTTTGTGACAACTGTAGATCAGCGAGCCATCAGCTCCCCCTCTCCCTCGTTTCAGGGATTTGTAGTCCGTAGCGTAGGGAACGCCGCCGCGTGTCGGAGGCCTTTGCGGGAGTGAAACTACAGTTCCCTCAGAGCTGCTCGGAGGTGTTAGTTGTCAATATGGCTGTTGTCAGACAGACAAAGCAGAGAGGCAAATAATTCGCCTCTGATTAGAAATCCTTGGAAAAGGGTCGGACAAGGCACTGTTCCCAGCTGCTTTAGTGCTCGGCTGCAGCAAACGACACCGCGCCTCTTTGCTTCCGTTACAAAGTTAAATGGTTAAGTGGACGATTTGAAACCGAGGTAAGTCCTGTTACTCGGCTCTCTCGACACAGAAAGTGATGTTATTAATATCAAACGCTCGCTAGCCAGCGACGGCGGCTAACGTCAGCTAGTATCGGCGTTGGCACGGCTAGCGTTGTATGCTAATCATCGCACGAGCCCACGGCGACCCGCGTAGCCCACCTCAGGTGGCTAATCGCCCTCCGCGATGCCAGGGGGCTGTTGTCAGCGTGGATTCAGCCTCGAGGGGCAGTGAAGAAAACGAGAGCAATCCTCGAGTGTTACGGAGGGCTCGCCGTGCTGGGTAATTTTGACGTTTAGTCAGGGCGGTTTGTCCGTGTGCCGCACGGAGCGCTCGCTAGCGTTAGCTTTCGGGCAAAGGGCGTGAAAGCTGGCATCAACAGCGCTTCGCCTGCAGCGCTGAAAGGCGCGACGGCTCTGTGCTCTCACTGCGGGCCAGCAAAACAAAAACACATGGAGGGAGAAGAGATGCCGCCAACTGCGGGAAGCACTTTAAGACTGGAAGCGTTTAGAAAGCTGCGCTGTCAAACAATCTAGAGTTTGCGCGTTTAAAGACACCGTGGCTGCGTTTTTATTCTGTTGTAGTTTTGCTGTTGGCATGACAAACACTCTGAGTTCGTGAACTTAGCTGGGCTGTTATCAGCGGACATCCAAGCCCGACAGGAATGCAGACAGCTCCATCTTTAACTGCTTTAGTTACGTGCAGGGTGAACTTTGCCCTCTGGGTGAATGGGTAACTTACCCACTTGATCACAGTGGGCATGAATTCAAATGTTCTTGTTTGTTCGCAGCACACAATTTGCTTTCACTTGCATGTTTAAGCTCACAAATCCAGCGGTCTCCTGTTGTGTGCAGCCCGTCTTTCTGGGCTGTGACAGATTTGGACTCTGCTTGGTAATGATTTACAGCATTAGCAGCTCACCTTCTAAACACCAAGGACTAGTTAATGTTCACCTGTCAGCGCTGCAGAAATAATGTGCTCAGACCCAAAATGACCCTTTACTGCACGTGTCTGAAGTCCTGGTAATGGTTTATGTGCCAGTGTCCCCCCATTATTTATGATAACTTCAAATGCACTCAGAAGTCCTTTATGTTTCCTCCCCCTCCCCTCTGTCCTCCGCACAGTTTGGAGAAAGACAGATGTAGAAAAATGCCAGTGACCCCTTTTAAACCGTTTATCATGTCGGCTCAGGTCGGGCTGGCACAGAAGATGGAAAATCTGCCGCAGTCTGATTCCAGTTGCATTGATTTTGAGCACAGCAAATTGCTCATGAAAAACATACAGCGTGGGTGGTGCGCAGAGCGAGGATGTATTGTGGCTCTTAAAGAACGACAGACTGAATGTTAAGATAGCATCAGCTGTCAAGGTGACTCTGGCACTCTGAGCGTGTTGCCTGCTGCTTCCCAAAAATAGCTGATTTTTATGCCCTGCCCCTCCCCTCGCCTTTTTTTCTTTCACACTTCTGTCTCTCGCGCTCGTCTTTTCTTCTCCGCTGCCTCTTTATATTTTCTTCCTGCAGTTTTTTTATTCCCCTCCCTTCCCACCCGTTTTATGCCTACTTTATCCCTCTAACTCTCCTCCGCTTTATCCTGCTTCCCCATCTGCGACTGCGTTCCTCTTCACTCTTTGCTACTTAATCCTCTCATTTCCTCTGTCACTCCACCATCCCCTCCACTGCCTGACTTGCTCCTTTCCTTTCCTTCTTCCTTTCCTTCTCCACTTACTTTTCTAAGGATTCCTTCCTACTTTCCTCAACTTGGCCCGTCTGCATTTCCTGTTTCCTTTCCTCGCCTTGTGTTCCTCAGCTTGTCTGTCTTGTGTCTCAGCAGCAGCAGCAGGATGTCTGAGTTCAGCGAGGAGCCGCGCTTCACTATTGAGCAGATAGATCTGCTGCAGCGGCTGCGTCGCACCGGCATGACCAAGCAGGAGATCCTGCATGCGCTCGACACTCTGGACCGGCTGGACCGGGAGCACGGCGACAAGTTTGGCCGCCGCACCTCTTCCTCCTCCTCCTCCTCGTCCTCCTACGGCGTAGGCGGGGCCAACAGCTGCACCAACAACTCTGCCTCTAACACTACTACTACCACGTCATTCAACAATAACAACACTGCCTCGGCAACCACCACCTCTTCAGCGTCATGCAATGGCGGCGGCATCAACAGTGGCGG